TCGGCTCGTACTCGCTTACCTCGAATGTCAACACGTCTGTACATTCCTTATTACTTAAATAACTATTATTGTTGTCGAATAAAATCTTGCCGAGCACGGTCGGAACGGGACCGCAATCCAGTTGTATCAAGCGGCTATGACGTGTGGTTTCCATGGCAACGGTGTAAACAAAACATCTAAATCAGCCATGATTTGGTCTCTGTGCCCTGGTTTTATCAGCAATAACATATCATATATTCAAGACACACATCTTTAGATGCAAGTGGATGTAATTTTTGATCCATTTTATACAAGTTGAACGAGATAAAAAAGTTAATTTTAATAGTTATGGCACAAATTTCCGGATCATTTTTTAAATATTGAAAATTACTATTTTACCATGTCCAGTGTAATTACAATGAATGACCGAAATGCCACACTGCATGCTACTCCAAATTGAAATACCATAAAATAGTAAAATTGGCAATGTTGTGTTTATTTCGCTATATCAAAATAAATATGTATCGTAACTTTAACAATGAACTGGAAATAAAAGCTCAAAAATGGCATCAGGTAACAATTTTTACTTTGCTTTTTTTTGCAACGACAATTTAAAACCAGATTTCTGCACAAAAGTTAAAACAGTAAGCTACGGGGACCTATCTGATACCGTATCTTAATTTCATCAGCAGACACCATAAACAGCTATGTAAATAAAGGATCATCAGTTACAACGGCATAACTTTAATAACTAAAAAATCCAAACCTGTAACACGTGTCTCTAATAATGAAGATTTCTCAGATAAACTATAAATATTTGTTGTTGCCAACAACAATAAACATCAGCTGTAAAACTCAGACCGTTACTTCTCCCAAGTACCTATTTTACACTGTACACCGAAGAAATGTAATAAACACAACAAAAGGATTATCCAATTTTTAATCATGAAGAAACAAAGAAAATAAATGTGTAATGAGATGTATGTACGAAAAATACGTGTTTTAACGTAACGATGTGGTTTCGTCAGAATTCCGATATGCCATAAAATAAACAAAGATATGAAAACATGTGTTGTTGCTGCAATTTACAAGTTAGTAACTCAAATCGTGTTTTAAAACCCGACTACTGCGACAACAGTAAACCGCAAGTGCAACTACGAATCAAATGAGTCGGACCAAAGTAGCTGTTAGTCGAATTTGGCCATAAAATATTGTTAGACTTTGTGGTGACTTGAGCACTCTGATTTTTCATGCTTGTTAAAAGTAATTGTTCAGATACCATTATTGTCTTGGTCGTAGGTAGATACTGATTATTTCATCTCGACCTGACGATCAAATTCCTTTAGTATACGAAAATTTCTGGACAAGCATTATAAATAGTGTGATGTTAGGCGGAAGAAATTACCTTTCGTGTTTTTTCTTAAAAAATATAACCAAATCGATCAGATCGTGGGTTCATTCTACAGCTTATGCAAAATCTTAGTAATTTGTATAATTCATGACGAAGAGATAGAAGGTTTTTTAAGTTAAATTTGAATTGAAAAGGCTCACTGTCAGCAATAAATGGGTGCACAAAACCCTTCAGATACGAAATAGCAGTTCGTGAAAAAACCCTCAGGAATCTGAAAATTGGAAGTTCGTATGGCTGTGTATATTCCAGTAATCAACTAACGGAAGCGTTGTTAATAAGGGGCGTTTCCTGTTTGAAGAGTACGAAACTGCCGGTTTCCCGTTTCCGTCTCTTTGTAGTCTGTCATCTGTTGGTGATTTTTTATCCAGATTAATTTTTCTCACTACTAAATGAATAAATAAAAGCAGCCTTCGTGCGGGTTTGTGTTCTTGCTCTAAGCTTTAAAATGTGTCGTGAACAACGAATATCGAAAAAATGTAAAATTATTTTTAACTAAAATAAATAACCATTTTTTTTTATAAAAATGTAAGCCTCATTTTCTTGACGTAATGTAACTTACGTCCTTACTGTGAGACCGTGTAGAGAAATCCATTATAATGAGGAAAAAGTTTTTGTCATTTTTCACGTGGGAATCTCTCGTTGATGGTATACTACCGACCACACATTCGGAAAAAGGATCTAGCCAGTGTTTCTCACGGCTTTTCAGAAAACCACTACGCATCACTATGTATAATAATATATAAGGTATAAAAAAGAAAAGTAGATCCAGCTCAAATCCAGAATAGTCTATAAATTATTCCAAAATAAATATTCTTTATGCAAAACAAGAAAACATCTTGGATGCTTTCGATTCCCTTCTGTCACTCTTCATTGTGGAGTTTCATTTAAGGCAACTTTGAAAGTTTCAACAATTCATGAATTTTGACGGGAAAACTCGGATGTAAATTTGATCGCTCCGTCGTCAGTTTTGTGTGATATCGGTCTAACATTCTTCGATCCAACTTCTAAAATTGCCAGTCTTAGTAATGTTTCTGGATGAATTGGATAATCGAATTTCTGTTTGCGCTAAATAAGTACCACAATTTCTTTTAAAAAACAATGTTAAACTACCTAACAGGAAGTACTGTAGGCGACATTAAATGATCGGTAGTATGTGTAAAAGTAGCTTACATAGTATGTAATTGAACACCTATCCCTACCCATTAGTAGAAAATAAATAATAAAATTAAGTACTTAATGGTTAGCAGTACACCACCATATACGTCGAGTCATTAAAATGGATTAGTGTTGTTATTCTAAGTAAACTGGTAATTACTGTAGAAATAAAATGTTAACAAGACTTCCCTTTTAATAAAGTATCAGCATATTATCGAACAACTCGATTTATACACACAAACTCTTTCATCTCCTGACAGATATGTACATATAAATTAGTTAAAAATTATAACCTGCACGCAAAACAAACAACACAAAATCAGGAGATATTCTAATAACTGTTTCAACAGAAATTCCCTCACCCTTGAAGTACAGTTTTAGACAAAACATTTCTCTCCACTGACATACACTCAAATCCCGCTTCTTCGAAAAATTATAACATGTATAAGTTGAAAAATATAGATAATAACGTCACAATGTATTTTCCAAACAATTGAGTTGTACGATCGACCCGTTAGGTCTCTCTTACACTAGTGTAAAATTTTATTATGTAATAATCAAGTCGGAATCATAAATCACCACTACAAAAGTATGTTGCTTTATAAAATTCAATGTTGGTAGGGATAATTATAAAATTTGTCGGTCTGGTGGTTTCGGAGATTATCTGTCTAATAAAAATCAAGACGGATTCATAAACCACAAGTGTAGAAATATGTTATTTTATAATATTTAAAAAACATTTGCTATTGTAAAGTTCTTCGCAGCTTGAGCCCGCTATAAAACCAAAGTACTTTTTATGTTCGCAATCCAAGCCAGATTTATGTATATGAAAATGTTATGGAACCTAATCCATCTAATGACGCTGCACTTGGGAATTGATAATCGTTCCCATATGTTCATTTTCTTTTCAGCTAATAAATCATTCCGAGGAAATTTTATCGATCAGTTGACATGAAACACTTATTGAAATTGCTCGAAACAGTTTCATAATATGCTATAACAATGCAAATGTATGTTATTACTTATTTAACGGAATCTTATCACTTTTTCATTGACTTTAGTAACAGAAAATGTTTTCTATTTAATGTATGTTCAATATAATGACTAAATTGTCTTGTTGACAAATGAACTTTCTTTATTTGGGTCAGACTAAGACATTTTAGTAGATAGACATATTTAATAACAAACACACAGTTGTAAATGTATCTCATTAAACAATTATATGTTTTTATGTGGCAAAGTACAGTTACTATATGACTAAAATTTAAAATTACTCACAATACAGTGTGAGACAAAAACAAATAAGTTTTGAACGAGCTTCATGTAGTTGTACTGCTTTAAATAAAACAAGACCATTAAAAAAATTTAAATAATACGATCGTTAGCATAAGCCTGATCTCTTAATCCGCCTCTAGTGTGGAAAATTATATTCTGAATTTCATACGGTTGCTACTTTTATCTTTCGCATAATGAATACTCTTTAGAGAAAGAAACAGTGTGTTGTGGTGTACCCGACCGCTTTCTGATCCTGCACGTACTATGATTAATTGATTATTCTTTCACCTTTTAAAATTGATCCTTCAATATTACAAGAACTAGAACCGACACCGAACTTGCGCTGTATGCGTATGGTCCTGAACTCCGTTTAAATAAAAAATTGGTCTCGCTCATTCCTGTGGCTTATAAATAATTTCATTGTCGTTCTAGTCAGAAGGTGACTTTTTAATAACTCATACTTACTATGATGTATATCAATTACGAACTTTTGGATAAGGCCGTTTTTTAAATATGATTCAGTTTCAGGAGCACATTGTACGTATTTTCTATTATCTCCATTGCTTTCCATTTTTAACTCGATCTTGACTTGTAGTAGATGCGCTGGAGATGCATAAAACAACTTGAAACAATGTTTTCACCATTATCGACATGAAATTTCGCTGTTACATAACATTCAAGATCCGAATCTAAATTTACTACTGTCTACAAACATAGTGTCATAAAATTTTTGCATAAAATTGCTTTCCACGCCAAATGGCTTCCACGTGTTCGATTTAAGATAAGCAACGAAGTGAACAGTTCACACGCAAATACAGACGTGATCATTACTTGTCTGCTATATCCTCGTTAAACTTCCTTGATCTCTGTTGTTAGAAGTAGTAGAAAAAATAACTGCTTAAGTTCCAGCACTTCTTGGCAATTATCTCTCTAAATTCTAGACACTCATGTTTGCAAATAAAGCAAATGCGCGCTGTGAAATTTATACACACGACTTAGTAGTCTGTTGAAGATTTTATTAGACAGATATTACTGGACTGATTTTATATGCACTTTAAGAATGTCATGTAGGTAGAAAATACTTGTGGTTTATGAATCCGTCTTGATTTCCAGAATATATGTATTTTTATTTTCGTTCTTTAGTAATTTTCTTACTACATTTTGAATTTCTTTTTTGTAGGCTGACTTCATTTCGTCTGTTCTGCACTTCGCCAATACATTCAACGCACTGGCCCTGAATGATACGGAAGTCGGGCTTTTCTCCGCAGTCGTGTTGTTAACAGCGGACAGAAACGGAATCACGGATGTTAAATCCATAGAGCATCATCAGGATAAACTCATCGAAGCTCTGAAAGTTCAGGTAAATTTGTGTGATTTTTCACTGTCGTCATAAATTTGATAAAATTGACTGCAGGTCGGCCGGAACCACGCCAACGAACCACAGCTATTCTCGAGTCTGCTAATAAAACTGCCAGAACTGCGCAACCTGGGCGCTAAACACTCAGCACACCTAGACTGGTTCCGTATGAACTGGACGAAGTTGACTCTGCCGCCGCTCTTCGCCGAGATATTCGACATTCCTAAATCCGAAGACGATCTACAGTGACCTATGATAGACAAGAGACGATCGTAGTGTTCAGATTTTTTGGCTTATTGCAGTTTATTTCCTGACGAATTGTGATCGCCATGAATCTTGCTGTAATGTACGCGCTCGGACAGAGATAATGACGGCGGTCATCAACTCTGTCCAAGACTGTACATGCCTCTTCTTGCTCAAATCGCGCCAAGGCTGAAAGGAAACGACATCAATCCGTGATCGACAGGGTCTTCAGCTTGTTTAGTTTTTCGTTTCGAAATACGTAGTTCACTTGACGTATCGTTCATACATATCATTGTCAAGATTACTTCTGTGTTTAGCATATCTGTACATATTGTTGCAACTCTTTGGTTAATTTTGGTGTGGAGGGGCTTTTCGTGGAAGAGTCCGGGTTTAAAATAAAGTTAATGTTAGTAACGTATCTTTAATAAGTACAGGTGGCCCGAAGGAAGTAAAACACAGTTTTCTTTTGACAACTGACCTCGTAGTTCCAGTTTAAACTTACAAAATATTAGTAACAATCAATCGCTAAGAACTAATTTAGTACCACAAATACCTGGATGACAAAAACGTATACTTTTTTAGCGTTTAGATAGAATTCGTTTTAGTGTGTACATCAAATGAGCGTTTATGCAATATTATGTGACCAAATTTTGATCAATAGGCAAGTTGCAGCGAAAGAAAAATGTGATTTTGGGTCCCTGCGATCGATAATAGTAGTCATCTATTGTGCTTATAAAGTGAGTAACAATCATATCGCGGTATATCACTAACCCTAGTTGTACCTATTAGGGTGTTGTTATCTATTAGAGTACAAACGATTCTACTAGAGTGTAACTTTCGTTTCAGAATATGAAATTTTAGGTGTCTACAGAAATTCTTTGCATATCGATGGAATAGGATGTACCTACTACATATCCCTTATTTTGTTAAGGTGTGACTGAAGTTTCGTACTTACACATTTCGCGGTTAGTGACATTTATGTATATAATGAGGCTATAATTTTACGACTAATTATTAGTAGACATTAATTGGAAAAATGACATGACAAAAGACAATTAAATGTACCTAATTTTAATACTTAATCTGTACATAGTACATTTTATATTGTTAGAGAGTATTCTATTATTTATCGGTGTTTTTATCAATTTTCCACTGCCTTATCCATTTTTATCATGCCATTTCAATTTATTTATTTGCAAATTATATTTAAGAACTTTTCAATGTGCATAATTCATACACACCACCACACGCGCGCATTTTATCGATGTGTTTTTAATATTTATAATTGATATGTGCTCATATTTGACAACCTTTACCTATGAATGTTGAAATCGTTGTTATTACTCTTGTTTATTCTATTAAAGTTTATATGTAATAAGGTATTGTTTATGCACTAAATCTTTATTTTAATCTAAATGGTAGAAGTTTCATGTTATTATTATTATGCTATTTTGATATGTCAATATTTAGCATTTTGTTATGAAAGATTGTTTAATTTGATTAAATTGTATATTACGGATTAAATTTCTTGATTTTTTCTTTCCATTTCCGTCCAAGTTGTAACTGTCTCCTGTCAACCACTTACGGAGCTTTTTTTTTGTTTCTAATTCATTATAGTAAATGTACTGAATTTCTGCACGCTTAATAGATACGGATCAGCATTCAACAGATGTGTAAATTGCATGATGGTATTTTAATAGATTTCCGGTCATTGAACTGTTGTAAACGCACGGTTCAGAACAAAGCACCAAAAATCACTTTGAGAATATGAACAAATCCGCAACAGAACACATGGGCGTCTTAAATACTTAAGAAATGTTTATTTAATTCTTAAACCTACTACATTAACGCATGAAGACATCGTTTTTACTCTGCGAAAAAGGACTTTGAATAAAATTATGAAAAACCCAGGAAGCGACACGCAAAAAGAACCGATATTGAGAATATATACAATTTATTAAGTAAAAATCCATCTTGTTTGAGATGTAAAATCAATAAATATACAGTATTCATCATTATATTAAGTGTTGAATGATTATATGTATTTAATTTATTAAAAATTAGTACTCAGTTTATAATCATGACAAAAGTTCTGTTTCGGTTTTTGTTACAGCAGGGATCAACAAAACCGAACAGTTATAGCCATACCAGATGAACAATAATTACAGTATAAATTCACAATCATATCAATTAGAAAAAAACTCATTAATACTGGAAAAAAAACGCTTGCAATGAGTTCAAAATGCGAATAAATTGCTTTGTAACTGATCGTTAGTTAAATTTCTCAAATTATAATTGAGACCTGCAGGGCCGTCTTAAGCATCCTCTGCGCCGGGGTGCGAAAATCAGCGTTGCGCCCTCCTGTCAAAAATTAATTAACTCTGTTTTTTACAGAGTCTAGCGCCCCACATCAGAATCTAACGTTACGGGTGGTTAACTTAGAAGTAGTTAACCGTCACAATTCACTTAAATATTCTATTCAAATATGCCAAAAATCAAAAACATAATGATGGTTCATCTATTTATTATATAAACAACATGGCTAGGAAGTTCAAACGATGACAATCAGTACAATCTTATTACAATTATATAATTTACACAGTGCAGATGTCAGATCAGAATGATTAAACTTAAAACTATTCTGTGGCATTTCATACATCAAAGTCAATTTTTCTCGCTTTTGAGATTTCATTTTTTTTTATTATTTCGGCTATTTCAAAATCTATTTCTTTTGCAATGTTTATAATGGCCAGGCTAGTTAATCTATCTTGGGCCATGGTTGACCGCAGATAATTTTTTATTAACTTTAGCTTAGAAAATGATCTTTCGCTCTCAGCTACCGTCACTGGAAGGGTTAAATATATACGTAGAGATGTTGAAAGATTAGGAAATGCGGATAGTAAATTATTCGAATATATATAACTTAAAATATCAAGTGGAGTTGTGTACTTATTTATAAAAAATATTGGCAACAATTCTAACTCATGGAACAGACCTTCGCCATATGTTAATTTCTGTTGCAAGTTGACACATTGTGTTTTTTTTTGCTCTAGCTCCGATTTCCTCCAGTTTTCTATATTTTCTAAAAATAATTTTTTTTTATTCTGTTGTATTAACAATTCGAATCTTTCATTTATTTTTGCAATTGCCGTGTCGAATAAATAATAATAGAAATTGATTTTAAAATTTTGCTTTGGGTCTAAAATGAGCTCATCTGCAGTTTCGTAATTAAAATGTCTTTTTCGGGGACGTGGACGAACAGTTTGAACAAATTCAGTTTCATACTTTAATTCTTCAGCAATTGATACTGAGTCATGATCACCGTGATGTTGATCCGGAAAAAATACATAAATTTCCTGGACAATTGAAAAAAAAATCGTTATTTCTTGGTTTAAACGCAAATCAAAAATTAAACAATATATTATTTAGTTAGTATTTTTCACTTTTCACGGTTCACTATTTCTTCAGAGCACTTTTCACTATATTTTCAGAGAAGCAGACAACAACTCGCGACGGGTGTTGCAAAACCAATGAAAAAATTTGTATTTTGGGACAAAATATATTTTTTTCTTGAAAACAGATCATCAAAGAAAGTATTTACCGAAATAATGTTAACAACTACTAGCGCGGCGCCCTTTAACATTGCTCTAAGAGCGGTCAATTTCGCCCCACGCGTTTATGGCAGAATCAAAACATCATAAAAAAATAAAATAATACCTACATCTGCCAAATTCTTGGATTTCAACGCTATTTCGGCTTGCACATCATAACTAAGTTTTATTAAGATTTATAACGTGCGGACTATGGTCTAGATGTCATTGTAAAATAAATGCACAGGGTTCTTTTCCCACGCTCCGATGCTCACGTTAATTTTTATTACACTTAAGTGTAAGGCTGGCCGCTTGCGCCCCTAGGGCCTTGCACCCCTTGCACCCCCGGGTTAAGACGGCCCTGGAGACCTGCTTTGTCTTCAATTCTGTCGCTTAAGGCGTCCCCAAACTCGGAATAAATTTCGGATCTCCCGCTGTTTGAAAATTTGCCAAGCTTTATTCATTATCATGTTATCGACCCATGGAATATAGTGTCCATAAATCTATTTTTTAATACGGGGAATTTTTTCCATAATAAGTCCCTTTTGTTAGGGTTACAACACTTATTACTGGCTGACAAGTCTGACATCTGTAACAAAACCGAGTAAAAAACGCGTCCTTTGCGAAACATTAACAAAGATCTTCAAGATCATTCAACAAATTAACACCTACTTGACATTTCTGCTATGGATTTTCCAACACCATACCAAACTGAACATAAGATAATATATTATTTAGAAAAAAAGAAGCAGAAATAACGTTGTAGTGCTTCAATTTGAAAATTTACATTACGTAGCTTAAAAAACAACGTCGCGTAACCTCATTTGAAAAATAAAAAAATCATTCCATAACTTAGGCAATCACAAATGCATGGATAGAGGGTTGTAAATACGTGGTAAAATTGGGACGTGGTTTTGTTTGTAATTTCATCAAAGAGCAACTATTTAAACAAAAATGAATCAAATTCGACGCCACTTTCCCCTCCAACGAGTATAACTAGCGTAAAGTAAATTAATTGGCAATTTTCTAATCTGAAATGTTGTAAAACAATGACGAATTCGTCAAAAGTAGGATTATTCTTATTTAATTATATGTGTACTGTTCGTGGTCTATTTAAACTGACGTTAAACGGAGATCCATTTTTAGAAAGAAAACATTGAAATTTGTCATCTGTTAAATAAATATCTTCTTGGACTCGAATATTTTCTTACAGAAATTAATGATTTCTTAGAGCTTTAATAATGTCTTACAAATTGAATTAAATTTTGTTTAAAATTCTAGTACTCATCCAATTACAGCGGAACACATTTTGAAATTAAAACTGACGGTTTTTGTTACGTGTCCTTTGCCCGAACAGATGTTAAATTTTGTAAACGTTAATGGGAAATGGTAATAGGTGGCTATTTTGCGAAGGCAGGGTACAGCGTATTATATGCGGCAGGTTTTTTGCCATAAAGATGTGGTGTGTCAATAGGAGAAAATCATCGCCAAAGGGTGCTAAACTACGAAAAGGAACTCGAAAAGAAACTTCAATTTCGCTTTCGTTACAACATCCTCTGTTTGCTGATTTACAGACTGCCATAATTTAAAATTTGCTGCCAAACTATCGATATTATTATACCCAATTTATATTATTTATGAAATAAGAATTTTAATTAAAGACAGAAAGATGTGTTAAGTTTTGGACCCCAGGCAAGTATTAATGTGGAAACAAAAATGGGATAAATCAAGAATCGAAAAATTCTGGAAAATTTAAATCCAAAACGAGTTTATCATGACATCAGGGGCGGCTTGTCCTATGAGGCAGGTGAGGCAGTGCCTCACCAATGAATTTTACGCCTTATTAGGATTTTTACTATTTTTTAACGACATATTTCGGCCAATAATTTGTGTCTTTTTTCTAAAATTTTAAAAACAAATATGGAAAATTATATTCTTATTTTTATCTCAGTAGGTACTCGTTGCTCCCTTAATTAAACAGCGCGCTGAAACACTCGACACAACATGTATTTTGTGACGCGAATGAGGCAAACTCGGAGCTTGCCTCTACAGCGGATATAGAAATCATATCGTTAATAGGCAAGCAACCTGCAATACACTCATAAGCGGTATGAGTTGAAAAAAGAAAAAATTGAGGCTAGCCTCATTTCCGTGCTTGCAAAAGAGATGGACAACAATATTTGCGCGCAAAGAACGTGCGATTACAATGCAGATCATGAATGCAGTCTGCATTTGCAGAAGTATTCAAAATTAGGCCGTTGATTGTTTTGCCACAAATCTGTGTGTGTATAAATTGTTTCAAAATTTCGGTAACAGAATTTTGTCTTAAAAGTGCCTACGTTTGTGTGTGTCGCGTTAGTGCTTTGTGCTTGTCATAATTTGATTTCGGTAATCGTTATTTAAGATTACGAGTAAATCGGAATTTTTCTCTACTAACGTTAAATGACAATAGTAGTTCTGTTTTTTCTACTTTCACGTATGATGATAAATTGTATGTAGTTAAGGAATTAAAACGGCCGGTTCCTGATTTGAGTAAATCGTTAATTATTGATCTATAAAAAAGTTTAAAATAAATCCAGAGTATTTATGTTTTATATGTTTTTCGTTTTGTTTTTTGTTATAAATCAAATAGGTTTATTTTATGTTGTATTTGATTTTTTTCGATATGTTTTCTTTAAAGTTTATTTTAATTTTGTTTTTTTTTTAAGTTATACCTATTAGTTTTTTCTGCCCACGTTTCCCTTTTCTTTTGTCCTGTCATTCCCATCCTTTCCTTACAAGAGTTCCTTACACCTTCACGTTGGTTCCTGGTGGACAGTTAAATGAGTTTACAAATTTGTTTATTTGACTAAGTAGAAAATATTTAAGTAATC